CAAGTTCTACACCTGCCCCTACACCTCCCCCCTCACCCCCATCCCAGGCCCTAAGAAGACCTTCCACATCAAACAGATGTTCACCTGCACATCTGCTAATGTGGTATACTGTATCCGCTGTTCCTGTTGTGGCCTCCTCTACATCGGGGAAACCAAGCGGAGGCTTGGGGACCGCTTTGTGGAACACCTACGCTCAGTTCGCAACAAACAACTACACCTCCCAGTCGCGAACCATTTCAACTCCCCCTCCCATTCCTTGGACGACATGTCCATCCTGGGCCTCCTGCAGTGCCATAATGATGCCACCCGAAAGCTGCAGGAGCAGCATTTCATATTTCGCTTGGGAACCCTGCAGCCCAAGGGTATCAATGTGGACTTCACAAGCTTCAAAATCTCCCCTCCCCCTACCGCATCCCAAAACCAGCCCAGCTTGTCCCCGCCTCCCTAACCTGTCCTTCTTCCCACCTATCCTCTCCTCCCACCCCACACCCATCTCCTACCCACTAACCTCATCCCGCCTCCTTGACCTGTCCTCCCTGGACCGACCTATCCCCTCCCTAACTCCCCACCTACACTCACTTTACTGGCTCCAACCCCGCCTCTTTGACCTGTCTGTCTCCTTTCCACCTATCTTCTCCTTTATCCATCTTCTATCTGCCTCCCCCTCTCTCCCTATTTATTTCAGAATCCCCTTCCGCTCCCCCATTTCTGAAGAAGGGTCTTGACTCGAAACGTCAGCTTTCCTGCTCCTCTGATGCTGCTTGGCCTGCTGTGTTCATCCAGCTCTACACCTTGTTATCTCAGATTCTCCAGCATCTGCAGTTCCTTAGCCCTCATTGGCAGGGGAATTGAGTTTAAGAGCCGCGAGTAATGCTGCAGCTCTATCAAACCCTGGTTAGACCACACTTGGAATATTCTGGTCGCCTCATTATAGGAAGGATGTGGAAGCTTTTGAGAGGGTGCAGAGGAGATTTACCAGGATGCTGCCTGGAATTGAGGGCAGGTCTTATGAGGAAAGGTTGAGGGAGCTAGGGCTTTTCTCATTGGAGCGAAGAAGGATGAGAGGTGGCTTGATAGAGGTGTAGAAGGTGATGAGAAGCATAGATAGAGTGGATAGCCAGAGACTTTTTCCCAAGGCAGAAGTGACTATTATAAGGAGGCATAATTTTAAGCTGATTGGAGGAAGGTATAGGAAGATGTCAGCGGTAGGTTCTTTACACAGAGAGTGGTGAGTGCATGGAATGTGCTACTGACGGTGGTAGTGGAGTCAGATACATTAGGGACATTCATGAGACTCTTGGATAGGCACATGGATGATAGTAAAATGTAGGGCATGCAGGATAGTTTGATCTTAGAGTATGACAATAGGACGGCAGAACATCGTGGGCCGAAGGACCTATACTGTGCTGTCTTGTTCGATGTTCTATGTTCTATGTCTGGGCTAAATGCTGGAAATTGGAGCTCGTGTAGATTTAGAGTAGTTTTTGTCAGTGCAGATTTGATGGGTCAGAGGGTCTCTTCTGTACTATATGATTCTATAAGGCCTGGCAGCTGAAGGTATGGCTGCCAATGGAGACACAGACTTGGAAGAGAGAGATGATTGTAGGGTTGGAGGCAGTTGCAGAAACAGGGAAGGGTGAGACCATGGGGGATTTGTTTACAAGCATCATCATTTTTAAAGTGAGGTGTTGATGGACTTGCACCGATATAGTTCAGAAAGTCCAGGGATGATGAGTGAATAGAAATTGGTGTGGAGATATGAGTAGAAAGGTTGTAATGAGCTCAGGTTTATGGAGGATGGAAGATGAGAGGCCATCCAGAAATAGTCAAATTTAGAGTTAACAAAGGCATGGAGGAAGGTTTTAGCAACAGATGATCTGAGATTGGGGAAATATTGGGTGATGTTGTAATAGTAAAGTAAGCTGTCTTGGAGCTGCAATGGACATTTATTTGAGAGTTCAACTTGTAGTCAAAAATGACCCATAGGCTTGGAATGGTCTGATTCAGCCTCATTTATTCACTGAGAAGCAGACTGGGGTTGATGGCTAATGATCAATGGTGTGGTTGTGACCAAAGACAATAGCTTTCATTGCCCTGAGACAAGGAGGTGATAGTCTAGTATTATTATCTCTCGGCTAGCAATTCAGAGACCTGGGTAATATTCTGGGTACTTGGGTTCAAATCCCATTATGGCAGATGATAGAATTCTAATTCAATAACTTTTTTTAAAAAATATGACCGTGAAACTGTTGTTGATTGCAGGACAAACCCATCTGGTTCACTCCTTTCTTTTAGAGAAGGAAACTGCTGTCCTTACCTGGTCTGGCCTATGCATGACTCTCACAATGTGATCGATTCTTAATTACCCTCTGGACAGTTAGGGATGGGCATCCTGTGAATTAATTTTGAAAAAGAAATAGTTGGAGATAAACTTTGCTCAACTAGTTGTGACCGTTATACATAGCAGTGTGACAACTTAGAGAGTGTAGATGGTTTGAAAACATGGAGGTGAGATCGAGTGAGTGTCAGTGATGTACATTGGGAATTTGACAATATGTTTTCATTGATTCAATAGATTAATTGTGGGATTGGCTATTTCAGTGAGGTCTATCCACTTTTACATCAGGCTGTTTTGTATGTTGGTGACAGATTTACTTCATTACCAGGGGCAGCCAAGAGAGGCAAAATCCTGGAGTCCGCTGCTGAGCAGCAGAAAGCATATATAATTACATTTTCAAAATAGCTTTTTACCTTGCCTTGTCTAGTGCAAACAATTGTAATGGAATAGTTGAACTATTGATATTCAAATTTGAACATTTTGTTAATATCAAAATATATTTTATTCATAAAAAATTCTTTGCAAATACACATAGTCATAAATGCAGTTCAGTTCTGTACAGTAGCATATCAAGGAAACAAACAACATTGCAGACAACACAGTGTGGAGCTGGAGGAACACAGCAGGCCAGGCAGCATCAGAGAAGCAGGAAAGTTGATGTTTCGGGTCGGGACCCTTCTTCAGAAATGATGTTGCCTGGCCTATTGTGTTCCTCCAGCTCCACACTGTGTTGTCACTGACTCTAGCATCTACAGTTCTTGCTATCTCTGAAACAAACATTGGAGTTTAACTCTATCCAAATAAACTAAAGACATCTCTTGAAACATACAAGACTATATTTACATGCACTTAAGGCACTGCCTTGCTGCTAAGTACAATCTATTCAAATTCTTTTCAACTTGCTTCATAATTATCTTCGCCTCCAGTCTTGGAACAGTCTGCAATTGGGTTAAGATGACTTTTAAACATTTCCAAAGTCTTTAAGGATTTTTACCTCCCATTCTGCTTTATCACTTCATTTGTTTGAATTTCATTTACAAGCTCAGTTTTCAGTTCCCATCAACTGTACATTCTTGTATCTAATCACGCTATAACCCATAGCTGTGCTAATGTACTGACGTCAAGAGATTGGATTCGAGCAGAGCATATCTCTCTTAGGCAATTGAAAATACTGGGATTAATCGCCTCTTCTGCCTCATTCAACTTCTGAGGATAATAATCATGTTACTTTATAAGAACATACTCATAAAAATGGCTTCCCATGCAAAATTCTTCGATCCAGCATTAGTTTAAAATGAATGATTTATACTCAGTAGTGGACCTAGGAAAATTTGCCTCAAGGTCATTTGTATGGATTTGCAGAATTGTTCTGACTGAAGTGTGAAATCAGGACATGACTGCAAAATCAGGCACTATGCAAAACAGATAAGAATCAAGATTAGTCATGAAATATCTCCCTCCTTTTCAACTATTCTCCACCCATATTTACAGTAAGTGATGCTAAGAAGTGCAGGCAGAACATTAGTCATTAAATGCAAGTACTATTTTAAAATATTTATTCACTTGTGCTTTACTTTGCACTGAATCCATTGATAGCCACTGCATTCTAGTTTTCTGGCAGAGAAATATCAAAAGCACGAATGATTTCTGTCACTCCTATTGGAATAGTTTAATCCTTTTTGATTTGTTGCTCATAAGTGCAGCATGAGGCCTGAAGTAAAATTTATAACTTGTTTTTGATTTACGAAATTACAGGAACTCCTCAAGTATGAATTTGATAAGGACTGCAACAGAGAAAAATACCTTTCTTTTTCTAACTTTACTATGTTTTGACCTTTGGTGTTGGTCTTCCTTTAAAAACTTAATTCCAAAGTTTTGGTTTAATGTTCTGTTAGCATTTCAGGCTATATTCTTGCATTTTAAAACTTGCTTTTAAAAAACATAAATCTTATGAAGGTACTACATTTCAACATCTGCAGGAAATTACACATTAAAAAAGAAAATATTGCTCAGATCAATTTGATTTTTTTGAGCTGCTGAAATGATTATAGTCTTCAAGAAGTAAATTTAATAAGTATTAAGTAAATAGATAAATATAGGTAAAAAATTTAATGGCGTCAGAGCATTTTTTAAATATATTATTGTTTGTATTATCCAGAGAATGTGATCTTTCTTGTGGGGGGAGTGCCACAGATCTCTAAAGCAAATACTTTACCTTAAATTATGTCAGTATTTTTTTTTCTGCTGAAGTTATAATAAACGAATTCGCACCAAATAAAATCATAGTCTGTTAGTTTCCTAAGTCCCTGAAATTTTGTGAGACAAGCTGATGTAAAGTTGTACTTAAGACATCAATGGTCCAGTGCTCACATGCCTGCTGCGGAAAGCTATAAAGCCTCCCAGAGTCCATATTTTGGAAATTCCTGAAAATCAGAACGATGGTAACCTACAACTTGAGAATAAATTGTCTAATGTGGCCAAAACAAAAACTCCCTGTTACATGCAAATCCTAACTTATTTATCAACAATTCTTTGCAAGTTTAACAACTGTTCACTATTCTGCAATATGATTCTATTCAATATTGTGGATGAAATGTTACATTTTCTTCTCTTTGCTTTTGCAGAGAATTTCCTTTTTAAATTCAAATTGTTTTTTTTGAAGGGCATGTTCACATCACTGATTTCAATATAGCAACAGTGGTGAAGGACTCTGAAAAAGCCACATCAATGGCTGGGACCAAGCCATACATGGGTAAGTAGTATTACAATCAATACTTAATTTTTATAAGTAGTAGGTAATAAAGTTAATGAATTAGAAGTAATATCAAAATGGCAAGTCCAGGATTTTAAGGAGATTTGAAAGTGATGAAAGATATCAATATTGTTTTAAAAATTTTATTATAACTAGCATCTCCCCAGTTACTGAAAACTGATGAAATAGTTCAGAAAATTATGATTTAAGCCAAAACACTGACATTAGTTTTTAGGAGATATTAAACAGATATTTCTTTTAAAAAAAACATACAATAGAAAAGATCTTAAAAATATATAATTTTTGTGCTCATTAATTTATAAAGTAAAGAGTACTAAGAATAGTACTCTTCATCACAGCAATGTTGGCTTAATTACTCCTGGCTCTAATGTTAAATTGATCAGCTTAAATGTCTTCTAAATTATAATGCAAAAAATATCCTGATTCTAATTTGAACCAAATAACCAGTGAGCAGAAAGGGAGAAGGAGGAAAAGTGGGAGAGAGATTTAGGAGCCAGTAAACCTGAAAGTATGAAAGAATAACAAGTGCTGGAACAAATCAACAGGTCTGGCAGCATTCGTGGAGAGAGAAACAAAGTTAATATTTTCTGTTCAATATCAGAAATCACATAACACCAGGTTCTAATCCAACAGGTTTATTTGAGAACACCAGCTTTCAGACCCTCGCTCCTTCTTTAATTCCTGAAGAAAGAACAATGCTCAGAAAGCTTGTGCTTTCAAATAAACCTGTTGGACTATAACCTGGTGTTGTGTGATTTCTGACCTTGGCCACCCCAGTCCAACACCAACACCTCCATATCTTTGAGTTCAATAGGTGAAGATAAACTTGCCATAGTCCTACTGAACCATAGGGCTGCTGTCATTACAGAGAGAGAGAGAGAGAGAGAGAGAGAGAGATGACTGGTGGTGGTTTAACCTGAAGGTCACCACATCTCAGGCAGAGGGAGACATTGAGAAGAAAAGTCCTTTGTGGTAACCTCAGCTGGTGCAGGAATTGAACCCATCCTGTTGGTATCAAACTACATCGCAGACCAGCAGTCCAGCCAACTGAGATAATATATATTTTCAATAAGGTCACCTCTCATTTTTTCTGAACTACATTGAGTAAAGGCACAAAATACTCAATGTCTCCTCAAAAGATAATCCTTCCATTCCCACAATCAACCTAAAGAACTTTCTCTTGTCTGTCTCCAATGCCAGCAGATAAGAGGATCAAAAATGTTCACAATATCCCAGGTGTGTTCTAACTACTGCCTTGTATAGTTTTAGCATGACCTCCCTATTTTTATACTGAATTATCTTTGAAGTAAAGTTCAACATTCTATTTGCCTTCCCTATTATCTGCTGAATTTCAATATTTACTTTTTGTGATTTATGCATGGGGTCTCTAAAATCCCACTGTGCTGCATCTTTCTGCAGTCTTTCTCTATTTAAATAATATTCAGATCCTCTATTCCGCCTACCAAAATGAATAACCTCACATTTCCCCGGATTATAGTCTAACTGCCAAGTCATTAATATAGATTGTGAATAAGTGTGGTTCTAGCACTGATCCTGACAGCATTCCACTACTTACAGTCTGCCATCCTAAAAATGCTCCCCTTACCCTATTCTTCTATTAGTTAGCCAATCCTCTATCCATGTTAATAAATTATCATTGGCTCTTATTAAGTGGCCTAATGTTTGATATTTTATCAAATGCTATATTGAAATCCAAATATACTACATCCATGGCTTGTCTTTCATCTATTCTGTTTGTTACCATATCAAAGAATTATACTAAATTTTTCAGGCATCAACTCCCCTTCATGACTCTGCCTCATTATGGTATACATATCTAAATGCTTTGTTATTACATTCCTTAACATAGACACTTCTCCAGAATCTAAGCATCTACTATCTCTGTAGCTACTTCATTTAAATTCTAGGACAGATCCAATCAAGTCCAAGGGACTTATCAGTCATTTAACATTGGAATAGTCAAGCCTCGTAGTAACAAAGGCATCGATTAGGAAGAGAGAGAAAAAGTGAAGAGGTTTAGAGTTGAAGAGAAGGATAAAAAGAAATTTGGAGGATGGACAATGATGAGAATGAGAAGTAGCTACAAAAAAATGCTGAAACCAAAATTTGAGGAATTGTAATGAATGAAATCTATTTTGTAACTGATTTCTGATTTTGTGGTAGGGTATGTAAACAGCATAAATAATCAAGCATACAATTGTTCCAAAGTATTTTCAACATTTTCAAAAGATATCTGCTAGGCATAAGTATAGCAAAATCATAAACGTATTTCTAAAGAATGAGCTTATGCTTGTGTTATTGCTGGGGACATTGACCAAACTTGTGACTTCAGAAATTTGGCATAACTAGGAACCATAACAGGGGTTAAATAAGTAGGTTAGGCAGATTAATGTCCGTGGTGTCACTGGGGGCCCTCATCCATGGAATTATCCATCCTGTCTGCACTATCGATTTAATATGGAATTCTGAAAGTCACAATGGATATCATTCAGCTGAACTCTTTGACTACAAACTGATTATTTTATTGGTGGGCTGAGAAATCCAAAATTTTCAGTTTCATTTCATTTTGAAATAAAATACTGGACTGCCAAACCTGCAAGTTTTCTGAATGAAATATAATTGCTTTATTTCTGAGTTAAATAATTGGTAGTATTTAAGACATTGGCAAATGTAAAGAGGCTGAAAGTAAATTAGATCATAGAGAGGATAAAGATAACCCATAATTCAAGAGGATCTCTCCAATTAGGTAATTCATTTCTGACATCTCATCTGTTGGTAAATGTTGAAATTCATGGCAAAGTGTCAGAGTTATACCCTCTTTATTGCTAGCTGGTGTAATTATATGTTCCCTCAACTAGAAGCCTGCAAAGTTAAGTATTTAATGTTGAATTACATCCCATTTACTATCTTAGCAAACATCATTAGTGGAGATCAATTTAAAAACTGCAACGTAGTATAAAACTGTGAAATAAGTTAAATATCTGAATAATGGCAAACAATCACAGGGGCCAGGCTTGATCTTTTTAGGCAACCATACAATTAAGAACATTAGACATTTGCCATTAAAATAAAATGATTGGGAATTCAATGGCAGTGATCTAAAACGGAAAAGTACTCAAACTGTTCTGTGCCCTGAAGCTAACCCATATGCTTAGTGTGTGCTAATGGGTAGTTATTTTCTGTGTTACCATTAATAAACTTTCACTGATCTTTCCACATGCTACTGAAAATTTTCCCACGTTAATGTACAGACCTAATGCTGAGTATTTTGCTGAAGATTTGTAAACATAAATGAGGGCCGGCATACAAATCTTATCATGTTTGTCTTCCAATCTAATTTGTTACAATGATGTTGACTGTGAAAGTGGTATTGACAGTAATGGCAGTAGTGTGTAATGGTGTAGTACAGATCACAGTCAAAGAAATTGATAGAACAACACATCAACATTGATAAAACAAAGCATCAGTACTGGTCGCATTAAGCTGGATGCGTTAGAGGAAAGAAGCAGCCACAAAGAGAAGCTGACAAGGTCTAAGTTGATAAACTTGACTGCTCACATCATCATATTGCAGCTGTGCAAACATTCAGCCCTCAAGATGACTGCAATGGAAAAAAAAGACCATCCCACCCGTCTCCTTATGGAATGTGCATTTTCAAAGAACATCTGGAAGCAGATGCAATGGTTTTTGTTGAGGCGCATGTAAGCAGCTCCATATCCTGAGTTCTGCACTCTATGGATTGTTACCAAGGAGTAACTAAGAAAATTACTGTTTGAAGACAATCTGTGAAAACTCAGTGAAAGATGCTTATTGATTTGCCCAAATATGGTTAGTTCTTGAATTGCAAGGACCTGCGTGTGCTGAAGTGCTGCAAACTGACATATTCCAACCAGTACACCCTCTAATTTCTTTCTTTGGTGTGTGGACCTCTGAGGTCTGTGTGCAGCATTGACTTCTGAAATTGGACATCAAAGTGTTGGCACACTGATGGGCAAGTGTGGAATCTCAGTGAAAGTTCATACCAGCATTCCAGCCTATAAAATCTAGATGATGATGCAGCAAAACTGGCCCTATAGCACCCAAAGAGATAGCAAGGCATTTAAAAAGGGACACAAAAGTCCTGACAAAGATACTCCAAACATGGCTGAGAAAAACACCACAAGGACTCTGGCAGACCTGTCAGTGGAAAACATTATCAAGTGGGGAGGTTTCAGTCAATGTAACTGTGTGGTCTCACTGAGCCAAGTTTCAACAATGCCAGGTTATCAATAACGTTATTCATAATAAGACTGCACATAGCAAAAATCATCGTCAAAATGACAAACAAAACCTGAAATCCTCCGGAATGGCTCCAAACGCATGTCAAGCCATTGGTATCCTTTGCCAAAGATGAAGGGCATAGGGGCTAAAAGGCAGCAGGCAAACAGGAAGGGAAGTTAATTTACATGCGGAATAGCAATTCAACCTTTGTCCACCTGTTTGTTGCCAAAATGAAGGTGGTGCTGATGCATGAGAGGTTTATACTTCAGAACACTGCCTCTTGATCACTGCAGTGTGTCAACAAGAAAATAAAAGTAACACTGGGGAACAAAATTAAGACAGCAGAGAAATTGCCACAGCATCTCTTGCATGCCCAAGTGGCCGCAGGGAAAAAAAACGATTGTTGCAGAATTTAATCTATTATTATTAATGTTTTAATTAAACTCTTGTTTGAAGCAGATCCCCAAGCTATTCTGGAAATATCCTAGATCAGAAAATAATTCTCACTCAGTGGCATCATGGCTGGAAAATCACATAGACTGCATTATGGCATCACTCCTCCATGTCTTTACAAGAAAATTCAAACCTTTTCCAGTTGAAGATCCTTGCATTCTCAGGCCAATCTAAATTCACAAACAGAGCTCTGATTCACAATCCAGATTCCTCCTCCTTCTGTAATAGAAACAGAAATTGCAGTA